TTTGGGGTGACCCCCCCCAAAAAAAAAGACTATAGCAAAACACCCCAAGGAGAACCCAGATGTTCCTGAGGTTCCTGCAGTCCGAGCTCTGCATGGCCCTTGCCCCCAAAATCCCGAGGGCAATCTCCTTCCCCCCTTGCCCCTTAAGGGGAACCGAGTCCTCCAGGGATTTGGGGTGACCCCCCCCAAAAAAAAAGACTATAGCAAAACACCCCAAGGAGAACCCAGATGTTCCTGAGGTTCCTGCAGTCCGAGCTCTGCATGGCCCTTGCCCCCAAAATCCCGAGGGCAATCTCCTTCCCCCCTTGCCCCTTAAGGGGAACCGAGTCCTCCAGGGACCCCAAAACTCTCTGGAAATGCCCCCCAAAACCTCCCACCGCCCCCAGGGTCCCCCCAGGGGGGCCCAGGATTCCAGGGGGGTGGTGGTTGTTTGTGCAACAACCAGGGGGTTGTGCAAGCGCCCGTGCAACGTTTGCACTTGTGCAAACACCCACAAAACATTGGGGGCTTGTGCAAACATCTGTGCAACGTCTGGGCTTGTGCAAACACCCGTGCAACACCTGGGGCTCATGCAAACACCTGTGCAACACCTGGGGCTCATGCAAACACCCGTCTGCACAACCCCAGTGCCCAGGGGTTGTGCAAATGCCCGTGCAAGGTCTAGACTTGTGCAAACACCCATGTAACACCCGGCGCTTGTGCAAACGCCTGTGCAACCTTTGGGGGTTGTGCAAACACTCGTGCAAGGCTGGGGATGGTGCAAACAACCGGACGGGGCCCAGGCGTCCGGGCACTAGGATGAACTGGGAGACGCTGGGAACAACCGGACAACGGTGTTTATTGGGGATATTTACAGCGGGAGGAGTACAGCTATTTACAGGGGGACAGTCCCTGTCCCCACGGTGACACCCGGCACCAGGATTTCCAAAGGGATCCTGGAAGCCTTGGGGACATCAGGGGATGCTCAGGTCACCCCTTGTGTCCCTGCAGAGATCCCAGGTCCCTTGGGGACATGAAGGGACACTCGGGTCACCCCTTGTGTCCCCACAGAGGGGTCCTAGGACACATTGGGATAGCGTGGGAGAGCCAGGTCCCTCCCTCCATCCCTGCAGAGGGGTCCCAGAACCCTTGGGGACATCAGGGGACGCCTGGGTCAACCCCTCTGTCACTGCAGAGGGGTCCTAGGACCCTTGGGGACACTGGGGGACCCCAGGCCACCCCTTGTGTCCCCACAGAGAGGTCCCAGGTCCTTTGGGGACATCAGGGAACACTTGGGTCAACCCCCATGTCCGCACACAGATGTCCCAAGTCCTTTGGGGACATCGGGGAACACTTGGGTCACCCCCCCATGTCCCCACAGAGACATCCCACATCCTTTGGGGACATTGGGGAACACTTGGGTCACTCATGTCCCCACAGAGACATCCCAGGTCCTTTGGGGACATCGAGGAACATTTGGGCCACCCCCCCATGTCCCCACAGAGACGTCCCAGGTCTTTTGGGGACATCAGGGAACACTTGGGTCACCCCCCCATGTCCCCACAGAGACATCCCACATCCTTTGGGGACATTGGGGAACACTTGGGTCACTCATGTCCCCACAGAGACATCCCAGGTCCTTTGGGGACATCGAGGAACATTTGGGCCACCCCCCCATGTCCCCACAGAGACGTCCCAGGTCTTTTGGGGACATCAGGGAACACTTGGGTCACCCCCCCATGTCCCCACAGAGACATCGCAGGTCCTTTGGGGACATCAGGGAACACTTGGGTCACCCCCTGTGCCCCACAGAGACGTCCCAGGTCCTTTGGGGACATCGAGGGCCCCACAGGGTGTCACTGGGTGGCCTGGGGGGACTGGGGCACGGTGGCCCCGTTGGCCTTGCCGAAGGGCGCCGAGGTCGCCTGGGGACTGTCCTCGGGCTTGGTGGCAGCAGTGGCCGACGGGGACAGCTGGGGGGCGGCGGCGGGGGGCCTGGGGGGCCCGGCGGG